CAAAGCAACAAGCACACAAGGGAGGAAATGGCCAGAAGCACAAAAGCCAGGAATGGCCCCAAGCAGCCTCTTGCTCTCCCTTACATATGCAAACTATCCACCTCAGGGCAGGTGCAGCTCTCACACCCATAATCAATCAAACTCTAAAAGCCTGCCCCATGACCACATGAGGCTTTGGGGGGACACACAGACACAAACCATAACACAAGGTACCACACATGTACTGGTTTGTGTGGTGGCCATCTACTTCCCAACAAGAATGCAAGCTGCACAAAGGCAGCACTTTTCCTCTGTTTGCGGCTGCATCCTCAGGCCCACAGCAGTGCGGAGCACAGCAGGGCAAGTAAGCACTTGTTGGGAGAACAGAGGAAGGCGTGGTGGGCATCTCCTAGGCACTGCTTGGCAAGACGTATCTAGAGTCTCTTTCTGAGCCTGCATCTCGCCATCCCGACTATCTGGTTCATCGTTACCCTTCCCAGCTGGGTCTCGGTTTCCTTTGGCTTCCACTGGGCTCCATCTAAAGAGACAGGGGCACCTGCCCATTGGGACTTGGATGCAGCCTCCTGCTGTGCACTGGGCCGGGCCAACCTCACTGCCAGGTGCTAAATAGAGACTCAGATTTCTAAGGCCTCCACACTGTAGTCTAGCATATTCAAGGCTCAGTTTTCCAGCGCTGGCCCGGTCTGCCCATGTGTTCACACTACCTCCCCCAGATCCTGGTGGTCTCCACAGGCTGACTCCAGTTCCCTTCTCACTTCTCCTTTCAGAACGACGCAATCCACTAGCACACTTGTGGACTCAACGTTTACTCTGTGCCTTTGGAATCCATTGAAATCTTGGTATACTGAGTTTGACTTAGAGCCAAATGTTACTGAGGTTGTGGGGAGGTGGCAGGAGCTTCCACTGAAAAAGTAAGTGACCTGACTAACTTGGGTGCGCTATTTACCATATAACTAACAACCCCAGGTATGGGGAACAGGGAGCAGGTCCCCTCGTTTGTCCATTTCGCTATCCATTTCACACTTTCGGTGAAGAGGACTTTGTACTGATGACAGGATTGCTGTATGTATGTACAAATACTCTTATTCAAGTGATTTCTGCCATAAGGTTGTTTTATAATTAAAGCACTCTCTAGAATTAAAATAACTTGAATTGGCAGGCAAGATATGCTACATGGAACTGACAGAAATAAAATCGGACAGGCAAGCCTGTCTATCCATTTAACGGTATTAAATCCCACATCCCTCTTCACAAAGTGAACACCTCTGTTTCTTATGTGGTTTGTGATAAATGACAAAAGACACCCACAATGGTCTGGTAATCTCACAACTATGAAGCTTAAAATGTAGGTCAGTGTTTAATCTATTTTCGTTTTAGTGGATTTCAGCAAGCCATTATTTCTTTATAAGCTCAGTGAGTCAGGTACATCAGCTTCAATGAGCACTATAAATAATTCACTCCCAACAAATAGTAGTCAAATAGAACGTGTAGGCTGGACATAACTATTTTCCTGAAAGGAAGAGGCCTGAACCTTTATAGCTTAAAACTGCAATAGAAGAACACCTAACAATTATTCTGCTCTAGAAAAGAGTGAAAGCCAGGTGTGTACACACAAACTGCTGTTTTCATATGACCTCTATTTAAGCACAGAAATAGGTTAGCCTAGCAGATGAACTCCAAAGCCCAACGTCTGAATTCCAGTTAAGTCTCTCCTATTAATTCACTCTATGATCTTTGACAGTTTAACTGCTCGTGCCTCCATGATCCCACCTGTCATGGAGGAGTAACGCCTGCCTGCCTCTGAGGATGCTGGAGAAAACTAAATGAATTAGTACAGATAGAGTACTTAAAACAATGTCTGGCATATATTACATGCTCAACCAAGTTTAGCAATAAAATATTCTTCTGTGATTGCATTCTCCTCTAATGACAGCAAGTGGAAGTGGCTTCCACACTGCCATGATATCCCCTTCCTCACCCACTGGTAGAGTGGGTTGTAAGGACCCTCAAGTACTCACAGCACAGCCCCCACCTAGAAGCAGATGGGACCCATTGGCTCTGAGGAACTCATCTACCGAGGAGCCCACTACCCCGATAAGAGCCGCTCTCTAGTCCTCCAGCCGGAGAGAAAAGTTGAAACTGACTTTCTCACCAGCAATGAGTCTATTCATTACCAAGGACCTCCCACATGCAAGGCATTAGGAGCCCTAAGAGCAAAGCCTGCTCTCTCACAAGGAGACATGGAATGAAAAGTCAAAAAAACTAAACATATAATACTGATTTGTGGAAAAATCAAAGGTTCTACAAGTGCATAA